ATATAATATGATAAATAAAATAAAATAAACAAAATAAAATAAAATAAACAAATCCACAATCCTCATCTAGCCACCCAATGTGGAATTCTAGAGCTGCATGGTAATAGAATCTGTACAATATTGTTACTTCCCCTGTTGAATGACATTTCTACCGAAAAGAAACCCACACTCCATTCTTCTTAAGGGGCCTTCTGGGCACCATCTCATTTCTTCCCTCCTGGTGCTGCTTGTTCTCTGTGACCATTCCTGGCCTCCCAGGCCTGGAGCCTACCTTTGGCTGACACTCAGCCCAGCTTGCCGAGAAGAGAATGCTGTTACCAGGAGACCACTGAACCAAGGCCTCAGCTCACAAACCAGTGCTCTCCAGGGCTCTCTCAAATTCTTGTGAGGGAGTATCATGGCAACCCCCCTAGGAGAGGCTTTTAAAGCACCTAATGTTTACTTCTAAAAAAGGTCCCAGTTGGTGAGGCACACATCATTTCTACTGATGTAGCTGGTCTAAACAGAAGTTTTCACTTTCGTTCCACCAGGATGAACATGCAGAATCAAATAAAGAGACGGTTCCTTTTATAGGAGGCAGAGTGGTATAGTGGTGAAGTGCAAGGGCTCTGCAGACAGACTGTTAATCCTGGCTCTGCCACTTCTTGGCTGTGACCTTGGACAAGTTACTTAATCCCTCTGTGCCTCCATTTTCTCTTCTACAGCATGGGTATGGTAAGAGTCCCTACGTTGTGTGTTGTCAGGATTAAATAAGTTAACGTATGGAAATGCTTAGACCAAACAGTGCCAGGCACAGAACACTCAGTAAGTGTTACTATCACCATTATTCCTGGGAGAATCTTTTTATAAAGGAAAAGAAAATACAATGATAATGTTGTGAGGGCCAGGTATAGAAATAAAGGAATTTTCTGGAAAATTCAGGACAAAAGGCATTTCAGAGGAAAAGAGTAACGGGTAAGAGTGTCATCTCTCATACAGAAAAGCTGTGCAATACGCCAGCTCCCAAGGGAACTGCTGACTGGGGCTGGCTGGTCAGGATCCTGGAGGAGGCAGACTCAGGGGTTCTGGGCAGCAGCCCCACAACAGTTCATTTTGCCACTTCCTTCCAAAAATGGCTCCTCTGAAGATCAGGTAAGGAGGGAGAAAGAGAGAATATGAGTAGAGTTTTGTTTTTCCATCTGTGCTTGATGCTCCCTCTTCCACACAGAGGGAGAACCATTACAGAACATTTTCCCCCTTTGAATCACCTTAGCAACCTGAATTCTTTTGCTCTTCCATGAAATTGTAAACAAAATTAATTCATTGAGATGATACTCTTTTTGCTTCTGTTTTCCTTCTCTAATGGCTAGCACTTTTTTAAAGGGGGTGAGGAGTCTTCTGATTATTTTAAATGTATTTTAGACCCCTTCAAAGTATGTTTATGTAACAGTAACATCAGGTGAAAGAATCGAAAAGTTAAAGCACATGAGAAAGCTTAGATGTATTCATGTAGTCGACTTCTGATGACAAGCATGCCTTAGAGCGTAACCAATTGAACCAAATTATTTAAAAGTAAATGTTAAATGAAGGAAGGGCGGAGGAGAAAGAGGATGTAAGAGGAAAGGTGAGAGGAAGTAAAGGAAAAATGTCGTAGGCAGGGACTGCTTTATGGGCATGTGACTAGTACAGTCATAGAGGGTCCCACAATCATAAGAGTCCTGTGCTTAATAATTATATCTTTGAATCTGTGTTTTGTAAGCGAAGTCTGATTGGACAGTGGAGCCACAGCTCACAGTCTCGCTTCCCTGACTCCCTGGCACAGACTCAGGGAGAGTCAGGTTCAAGCATGTGCATGGTTGCAAGATGGGGCCCCAGGCACCTCTGAGGGTTTGCACTTGTCATAATAATCTCCAGCCCAAGGGAGCACAATACTCAATAGCCAGTAAAAATCACCATGACATGTTGAGAGAGACACCATAGAAGTAAGGAATAAGTTTCTTCCCTACCACGTGAACAGGGGGCTCCACATTTTCACTGTGCCCTAGACCCCACAAATTATGAGCTAGTCCTGGGCTGGGACTCCAAGTTGAGAGCTTGAGTGCCCCTGGCCCTTGGTCCTGCAAGAGGATTCAGAATTGGTGTCAGCTGCTGTCCCCTGACACAGTGGAAGCACACTCAGGGCTCGGTACGTAATGGTTCACTGTGAAGCCAGTGTCAAGCTGAGTAACAGGATATCCGGAGAGCCATAGGTGCAAGCAGAGAGAGGTGGGGAAAGGAAGAGGAAAAGCGAAAATGAACGGGTGCTGTTCCATGGTATTGTGAAAACTGACTCAAAGGTTCTAAAACACAACCTTGGGGTCAAATAAACAGAGATAATACAGCGGGAAGAATACAACAGGAAATTTTATATGGAAAAAATTATTCTGAGGTGGTTTTTGAACAGCATTTGGAGTATAACAGAATAGTACCTTTTTGAAATTTTAACTCTTTCTTCTTGCCCTGAGCCTGGCCCTCCTGGCTCCCTAAACTACAAGGTCTTCCCCATTCCCTTAACCTGCTCGTCATGCCTCCTAGGAACCTTCAGGCTACCCATAAGACGTTGTGCATGGAGTTATAGAATCTCCCTATGGATTCGTTGAGAAAATAGAAATGCTAATGAATTATATGGATTGTTTTATAATATTTCCGCAGATATCAGGAGAAATCTGAAAGATAAGATTTTCTTTTGTGTAATATAAAACTAGAATTTCTTTTATTGGCATTGAAGATTTATTATCTAAAATTGCAAATGCTTACCCAGTGTTTTTTGACTTTTTAGTCCAACGAATGGTATTCAACAGCAGCAATATACATAGTATTTACTTATTCATTCAAACTGAGGAGATGTAGGACACTTTCAAGGAAAAGCTGGTGGCTTTGAAAGCTGCGACAGTTACTAAAAAGAGTGTAGAATAGCCTCCCTTTAAATATAAGATAAGAAGATTATTATAGACCTGTACAGAAAGATGGACTAGTTTAGATGGTTACCCAAAGTGCTTTCCTTCCCATACTTGGTTATTTCTTTATTTATTAGCTACTTGATTATGACCCACTTCCTTTCACAAAAGAGTTTTGGTGATTAAATTTCATCCAGTTTATAGCAATGTGACCAATACTGAATTATTTTGGTCATCATTATGCCACTACTCAGTACTCATAGTCATTTTGTTAACATTAAAATTAACTCTGCCAGTTCCTCAGTGGACAACCTCTAGACAAGCTGGGAAACAAAACAAATAGATTTAATGAGCAAGTTGTTGTCTAGGTGGTCCAAACATCCTGCTAGCTCTGATGTCAGTCAATTATACTTGTATTTAATTTAAGTCCTATTTGGTTCGCTAATTATGGAAGACAATTTAGCTCTTATGAGAGACAAAACTGCAGTGACTTGCGACAGTGGAAATTTGTGGGAGAATTTGTTCTTTCCCTTTGCCTTTTCCTTTTTTCCTTATGGGATTTTCTTACTTTGTATTTTTATCTTTACATGCATAGACAGAGAAGAGCACTGGATTATACATAATGAGCTTTCTTTGACTCTACTTTCCAGAGTGGAAATAGAATTCTGTGTTCCATCATTCTGAGCCATCACCAGGGTCCGACCATTATCAACTATGATGATGAGAGTGGAAAGACATGTGTGCACATCGCCGCAGCAGCAGGTTTCAGTGACATTATTACAGAACTGGCAAGAGTCCCTGAGTGTAACCTGCAGGCTCTGGATGTGGACGACAGGTATCCATAGCAACTCAGAAAGTGTTGAGAGCTACTCATCTTCTCCAAATGTTAATCGCGACATAAAGAACATGTTAAAGGAGTTATCCCATATGACTATATCTTTATTGCCAGTAATATTTACACATGTGCTTGTGATAATAAAAGCTGCTCTATTTTAGTCAGGGCAGGAAAAATCATTGTTATGAAGAGAAACACTGTGACTATACAGTATTGTCAGATTTTCCACTTTTTGCTAAACGTCCTGAGTGTTCTCAGAAGGCTTTCTGTATATCAGCTTCCTGCTATATGCACTTTTTGTTCTGAACAGTAAGTCTTATTTTTTTCTTCATTCCTGAACTGTGTCATAAAATCAACAGGTTTTGTTATTCAGGCAAGAAGATAATAGAGGCTCTGTATTTGGAACTAGATGCGACCTTATTAGGATTTTTTTTTTCAGACATTCAGATAGTAAAGAGATATTGGCATAGAAGAGGAAGCTGTGTCCAGAAAGTGAAGAGACTTAACTCAGGGTTAATGAAGACTTGTATCCTTGTCTTCCAAACATAGAGCTTTTCACCATACAGTACCCTTAATCCATAAGCAACTATTACAGATTTTCAGTTTCAATGTTTATCTAACCTTTGTTTTGGTTAGACATTGAGTCTAATTGAAATAGAATAATATAACAACAAACAAGACTGTTGAAAATAAGTATAAAGTTTACATATTATATATGGCTTTTTACCCTTTTATTGAAATGCAAAATGAGCCACTTACTAATCCTAATTTTAGATACCACAAGAAACATCCCTACTCCCTGATAACCTGGGAAAAAATTTCTTTAGTTCCATATAAATCTCAGAAGGTGAAGATGGTTGACATGATGACTTTAATTAAAAGCGAAGTATAAATCATTGAAATCAGACATTTTCCTAAGAGCAGATGTTGATCCTGAGCAGGTAAAAAAGTACAAGGACTTCCTTTTTTTGTGAGGAGGGGGTGAGGAGGGGGCAGGGTAAACGATCCAAAAAGAGAAGAAAGGAACACATTTAAGGAGAGCAGGAGAAAAGTTTGCCTACTTTGAATTACTTTTAGAACTGACTCTGAATAGAATATTTCCCATTTTATATTATCACACACTGAGCAAAGAAACTCCAGTTCCCCAGGCCTCAGGGAAGAAATAAAACCAAGGAGAGAAAAAAAGTTGCAAAAGATAAGGTTCTATGAGAGTTCAAAACTAAGTAAAATCTCAAGACGAGTCTAGTTTCTGCTCCGAAGCTTAATTTGCCTGTTTGGACCACTGATCATATCCTGCCCTCTGTTTTGTTTCACATTTTCTGCATTGTGCAGGTCTGTCTTCACATTGAAACTGCAAGCCTGTGTTAGTAGTAGAATTTTTCAAAATACTTTTAGGTTTTAGAGCTGTAAGCATTGGCAGTATTCGTGACTTCCCTTTCCTTCTTCTCTTTACTAGTGGAGAGAAAGTTTTTGAGGAAAGAGAGGAAAATAAGGCAATGATTTAAAAAAAAAAAAAGAGGATGAGAGAAAATAGATATTAAAATATATCATAAATCTATAATATTTAAAACATGGTGGCACTAGTCTAAGGTTGATGGCACGGAACACATAAATAACCCAGAAGTAGCTTATGTAGCTTAAATGCCTACATTTCATCAGTCTCTGAGATCACACTTTCCTTTAATACCCAACTCATTTATCTTTAGGAAAGACAGTCTTTTATCAAGTTCTCCTCCCTATGCATTTCTGGGAATTCTCCAGGGAATGTTTATATGTTCCATAAATCATCCTTTGGCTACCGATACCTCAACCAGTACTGCATTCTTGTACCCATCATCTCCTGCCATTCAGAGGCCGTCTCATCAGCCCACTGCTCATCTATGATGAATTTCTTCTGAATCATGAACCCTGACTTTCTGTTCCTCACTGTGATAGCTGAAACCAGTCTATGTTTACCGGATTATCCTGAAGCTTAGAGGTAAGAAAGGAACTATAGCTTAGCTAACCTGAAATTGAATACTACAGATTGCTCACAAAGATTCTATGTATATTAGTTAGATGTTATCTATATGCTCTCCTTGCTTCTCTGCAGACTAATTTAAGTCCCCCCGCACCTCCCCCCCACCCCACATGTACACCTTCACTCTTCTGGACCTCTTCTTTCATGTTAGTGGTTGGAAGAATTAAAGCAGTCCATCATTGTCATAAAGGATTATTTCACAATGCTCCAAAGTAAGCTGTGACATGTTAGTAAGCCTGACTAGACTGATGTCCAACCCTCCATCTACTGAATTTACTGGCAACGTATTCTCTAAACAGAAGGGTGTAATCTGGCTGATGCCTCATCTCGTTTCATAATAAATACTGTCTAGAGACCTCGCTCATGTAGAATGGAATAAATCATACTTGCCACATATTCAAAGAAGCAAGGTGATTCATCACTATATTGAAAAAAATATAGGGTCCTATTAAGGGTTCTCAAATTGCTGCTTATAGCATAACAGGAGCAAGAGGATGTTTGATTGACAGAGGACACAATCTGTACATGAGAACTCTGCATATACTGTGGACATGGCTACTCTCTAAATACTAAAGCCCAAGCTCCTTCACAGATAACCCCAACTGAGCCCTACTCTATCCAGCTCCCAGGCAGCCTCCATGTGTGAGAGACCCCTTGGTTCTCCCAAGAGTGCCCTTCTACCGAAGGTTCAGGCCCCAACATAAGGCCAAGGAGAGATCTTCCATGCCCTCCTTTCCTTCTCTAAGATTAGTCCCTTCCCAGAGTGACTGACAGGAAGAATAGCCATTCTCTTCCGTGGAAACTCCAATTATAGAAATGTTATCTTGACCTGTACCCCTCCTTAACCTCCTATGATCCCATTGCCTAGACACCCCTACTTCCTACTTCCCTGCAGCTATGCCCAGAAAGCAGGGTTCTGGTCCCCTTTGCTCTTGGGTCCAGTGGTCCTTTATTCTCTTATCAGCCTCTTGTCACATCTGCCTTGACAACTGAGGGAGAGCTCTTTTCACTATTGGGGAACTGTTTTGCTCCAAATCTTCTCTCAGTTCTGAGCTTGGTTTAGGAAATAGAAAGACACTAATTCCATCCTGCTATATCCTTCCCCTGAAGTTGAGCACATCAACCATCTTCTTAAATGGGGGAAAGAGGAAGGGTAGCATAATATGTATATAGGTCAGGATCCCACCATATTAATAAATGGTGCTGAGAAAGTTGGCTATGCTATTGGAAAGACAGTCAGATTGGCTCCACATCGCAGTACACATACCAAAATGCACAAACACATGTGCAGTTTTTTTTAATCCAATAAGTCTAGAAGAAAATATTGTTTTTTTAAAAAAATTTACATTCAGTAAAATTTATGTTTTTGGTGTACAGTTATATGAGTTTTAACATGTGCATAGATTCATGTAACCATCACAAACAAGATTCAAAACAATTACATCGATTTCAATTTCAACTTAGGTTGTCCTTTTGTAATCAAACCCTCTCCCATCTCTAAGCTCCGGAAACTGACTTATTCTCTTCTCTATAGTTTTGCCTTTCTAGAATGCCATGTAAATGGAAATATGCAGTCTGTAATTTTTTGAGATTAACTTATTTTACTTAGCAGACTGCATTTGAGATTCATCTATGTTGTTCTAAGTAGGAGTAGGCTGTTCTTTTTTATTGCTGAGAAGTATTCCATTGTATAGATAAACCACAGTTTGTTTATCCATTCACCTGTGAAAGGACATTAGGTTTTTTCCAGTTTGGGGCAATTATGAATAATGGAGCTATCAACATTCATGTACAAGTTTTTGTGTGAACATAAGTTTTCATTTCTCTAACTGGATATCTAAAAGCGAGATCGCTTGCTCATGCAGTAAATATATGTTTAACTATAGGAGGAACTGACAAATTGTTTTCTAGAGATGCTGTTCCATTTTGCATTCCCACTGGTAATGTATTAAAGTTCTAGTTGCTCCATACCTTCACCAGCACTTGGTTTTGCCAGAGTTTTTTTGTTTCTCTTTTTCTTTTTCTTTCTTTCTTCCTTATTTTTTTAACCAAGAATAACTTTTTAAATTTTTCGAATAATTTTTTATTTTTCAATTACAGTTGACATACAATATTAGTTTCAGCTGTACAACATAGTGATTAGACATTTAGATAACTTATGAAGTGATCATACCAATAAATCTAGTACCCATCTGACACCATACGTAGTTGTTACAATATTATTGACTATATTCCTTATGCTATACTTTACATCCCCATGACTATTTTGTAAATACCAAATTGTACTTCTGAATCCAGTACCCTTTTTCACCTACCCCTTAACCCTCTTTCCATCTGGCAACCATCAAAATGTCTTCTGTATCTATGAGTTTGTTTCTGTTTTGTTTGTTTCTTTATTTTGTTCTTTAGATTCCACATGTAAGTGAAATCATATAGCATTTGTTTTTCTCTGTCTGGCCTACCCTACTCAGCATAATACCCTCTAGGTCTATCCATGTTGTTGCAAATGGCAATTTTCGTTGTCTTCTTTTTTAATTTTAGCCATTTTAATAATTATGTGGTGGTATCTCACTGTGGTTTTAATTTGCATTTCCCTAATGACAGATGTTGTTGAGCATCTTTTCAAGTGCTTATTTATTATTCATACATTTTCTTTGATAATGTGTCTGTTCTGATCTTTTGCTAATTTTTAAAATGGCTTGTGTATTTTCTTCAGTTTGGAAAGATTTTATGTAGCCTGAATATAAGCCCTTTGTCAGATATGTGATGTGCAAATATTTTTTTTTTTCGCAGTCTCTTGCTTTTTAAAAAAAATTTCTTAAGAAAATATTGGTTTTACAATTTAACAAAGGTTTAAATACTGATGAATATTTGCTTACCTTTGGGCTGATGAACTTTGCAAGCATAAAATCAAAAAATAAAGGAGCAATTAAATATGGGTATTTTTAAAAAATTTTTTAATGGAAAATCACTAAAAACTAAAAAGTCAAGTAACAAATTACAGTAAATGTTTGCATAAGTATAATCTATAAAAGACTGATACATTTAATATGTAAAAAGCCCATATAAATTGGTAGAAAAACTAATAATCTAATAGAAAACTTGGCAAAGGGCTTGGAGCCATTTCAATGAAGAAACATAAATGCCAAAAAAACATTTTTTAAGATGCTGATAATACTCAATATTAGGAAAGGAGTCAGGACACAGCTGGTAGGAGAATAAGCTGAGTTAATCTTCTTGGAAGGCAGTTTGGCACTATGTATAAAGAGCCTTAAAATTGTTCATACTCTGACCTACTATCTCCTCTTCTAGGAGATAGTAGGTCAGAGTATGAACAATTCTCTGAAAGGGCAGAGAAGGCAGAAGGCCAGGGAATACTTAGAGCTGGAGGAGAGGTTCCTACACGTGTATACAATCATCCTGAATCTCCATTTAATACATACTATTTCTACATTAAAAAAGCAACGATTTTTTTCCTGCCGCCATCTGAGTTTAAGCTGGAGCTGTTGCTGGCTAAGCAACCTACACCATTCACACTTGTGTTGTTCCCATGTGGTCCCCCAGGACACCTTTGCACTGGGCTGCAGCTGCAGGGAAGGCAGAATGTGTGCAGTCACTGCTAGAGTTGGGGATGGACAGCAACCTCCGAGACATCAACGAGAGTACGCCCCTGGCCTACGCCCTGTACTGCGGCCATGTGGCCTGTGTTAAACTCCTCTCCCAAGAGAGCAGGTGAGCGCAGCAGGAGGCATTCATTTTTATTTCCTCTCAAAGATATAAAAAATTGGATGAAATTTTTTTGATTGCCAATGTGCAAAACCAGCAGTAACTTAATAATGACATTTGTCATTATCTAAATATAGCAACATGTTTTCAACTCAGCGGAGAAAATGATAGTAGTAAGCCTGAATCTGTCAGCCTAACATTCACTGAACTTTAATCTCTTCTTTCCTTTTTTTCCCCTTTCCTCTTCCCTTTATGCCATGTTATTTTAATCTTCTTGCCTAAATCAGCAGTTATTAAACTACTTATTTTCATGATACTTTTATACTTTCAAAAATTATGGAGGACCCAAAAGAGCTTTTGTTTATATGTTACATTTGTCGATGTTTATGGCATTAGAAATTAAAACAAATTTTTAATAAAATATTTAGTTATTCAATTTAAAGTAATAATAAACTCTTTACATTTTCATGTTAACATAAATACAATATTTTTAGTCGAAATAACCTATTCTTACAAAAAAAATTGTAATGAGAAGTATATCATTGTTTTACATTGTTTTGCAAATCTCTTTGGTATCTTAACAGAAGTTTATAGAATACGGCTGGATTCGCACTTCTGCTTCTACATTCAATCTGTTGGAATACATTGGATTAAGTGTATGAAAATAATCCGGCCTCACATAAATGTGTAGTTGGACAATTAGATATTTCAATAACCTTTTTAGATAATTATGGACACTTTCCCTTTGATATTATACTAAAATTTGATGAGCAGTAGTTTCCTAAAGGTTAGTTGCAATGTGGACTCTGTCGCCATATTAGTGAACTTTTTCTACTCTGTTACATTCCAATCCATTAGTCTATCCTGCACTTTAATGAGTCTTATACCATGAATGATTATATAACATCTTGCTTCGGTCCTTTGGAAAATATTGCTTCACTTAATTATGAATATCTTTCAAATGACACATTTCATTATACAATATCAAAAACTCACATTTGTTAATATCATCACTGATCTTGTCTTAAAAGCCTTTATGTATCAGGAAGCTGTCAAGCTTACAATGTGGATTCAAGTTTTCCAAAATTCTAATTTTTGCTTGAAATCTAGACTCTTATCATTGGCAACAATTATTGTCATGTATATTGAAAGGACAGACTCACTTTGTTCATTTTTGAGAAAATTTCTGCAAATATCTCACTCTGAATAACCATAAGTCTATAAGTCATAAAAATTATGTGCCATAAAAAAAAAGTGTCTAATTTAGTTGGCAACTCAATTCTACGAGTGCTTTACCTCAAGACAACTATCATACTTTAGTATATAGTAGAATTGTTTATGAGTACTTTCTATTTTGTCAAAAAATATATATCAAAGGATCAATATTTAATAATAGTAATAACTTTTACTGGACATTATTAAGTTAAACGACAATTTTTGTGATGCGCAAAAGCTTCAATTGTGCCAAATAGCCCATAGTTTCACCCATTATCTCTATTGCACCCTTGGTACAAAAAAACAGCACAGCGAAAAAGACAAATAACATCTTGATATTATTATGAATATAGTTTTAACCTTATGTTAAAAGACTGTCAGGAATCCCTTCCCCAGAGTTCAGTGGACCATAGTTTGAGACCCACTGGCCTAAAGCACAACCTGTTACAAGAAAAAGTGATAAACTGTAGAAGATGCTGAAACAGCATTAATTAGCACAGGGGCATATTCTACATAAGGAAACTTGAAAAAAAAAATGTTAGAAATCTCCTGGGGTTCTTTCTGTTAGTGTTAGGAGTCCAGAAGTAGTGTTCAATATTTCAAAAAGCCTATTGGAAGGTTAAAAAAGGAAGATAAAAAAACATTCACAGGAATAAAGATTCAATTATGCACTGTGTCACTTGTAGGAAAAAAAAAAAAACACTCATTCTATGCAGCCAAAATAAGTGGTGTTTTTCAAATTTTAGATTACAGTTTCTCACTCTAAAGAGTAACGTTGCAGTCTGGCTTTTAGGGTCTGCACATGAGTCAGGTTTCATCATTAACTCATGCCGCAGAGAGCATTAAGTCCTTTTTGGCCTCAAAAGAGAAAAACACAGAATTTTCCAAGGAATAAAAACAAAATAGTGCCGTGGGGGGAAACTCTCTACCTAAGAAGAGGCAGCCGAACACTGCTGACCTGTTTTTCTTTAGAATTCGCCTGCCCATTCGGTGCTGCTCGCTTTTCTTCTGCTGCCACACCCAGCCTCTGGCATACACACTTCCTCTTACGCAGCTGAAGCCCAGACAAAAGCTTCTCTCCTTGGTTTCCTTTAGTAACTTTTTTTTAATAAGTATTTTTCAATAGGGAAACAAAAACACACAAACGGCATAAAATGGGCAGGCTTCCTGAGATGGGTAATGTCAGAGCTCTGCCGGGATCTCCTGGGATCCTTTTCAGAGAACCTCTGTAACCACACTCCCCTCAACTTCTGCAACCTCCACCCTGCTTCTACTAGTTAAAGCTTCAACTCAACCCTTGGCCTTCATCTCTTTGACTTAAAACTTACACTCCTACTGCCTCTCTCAAAACAGACTACCTAGGGATAAATTTTGGAAGGATAGCCCGTGAGGGAGCAAGAAGAATCTAAGACATGTTCCAACTGGGCAGAGAACTGACCATGGCAAGGACCACTTCTAGAAAGGGGTTGTGAATTCTTGCACTTTGTCTTTGGCTTGAAAGGGCTATGAGGTATCTTTGAAGGATCTAAGACATTCTGCTCAAGCATATGGTTAGTAGTGGTGTCTGCACTTTCTATCCTCATATGCTATTCTTGTTATTTCATATTCTCATAGAACAGAGCCTACACAACCCCTTCCTTCCCAGAACAGTAGACCCCAGAAGAAGGAGGGGCGTTTCGGCACACTCAATCAAATCTTCTGCAAAAACAGGAAAGAAGAACAGAGGGCCTATCAGAAGTATCACAGCAGGGACGCACACAGCGGGGAGAACAGCTCGGAAGTTGATGACATCATCACCACCTTTGACAGCACTGTGGATACCAACTGCCAAGAACAGCCTGGTGATCAGGTGGCTATGGTTGACTTTAAAAAGAGGATCTCAGAGAATTCAAAATACCTCTTGCCGGAAAAGAAGCCTCTGGCATATAAGGGGCTTCCACCAATCAGAACGCAGAGTCTCCCACCCATCACCCTGGGCAATAACTTCCTGACGGCCTCCCATGGGGCTATTTCCCATGCTGGCCTGAGCTCTGGTACTCATCACCTGGCCCAGCCATCTCAGAAAAGCCGGAGTGAGCAGGATTTATTGACTAACAGAACTGGCAGCCAGGCATTGCTAGATAACCCCTGGAGAGGTGACTCTAGCCAGGTGTTCTGCAAAGCTTGGACTACGTCTTCTGATAAGCTGCTAGACAGGTTGCTCACCAGCAAATCCAGTCACCAGGAAGTCTCTGTGCCTCCATATCTTCCTCATCTACATAATCCTTCATCAGGTAAAGTCCTGGCTTCCTTCTTCTTCATTCTTGGCAGGCTCTATAAGGAAATATGTCTCATAGAGTTCTAAGTTAGGAACTAGAGTGATAGTAGCCTAGGGGGCAGGGCCAGAGCAAATTGGGTGATTAGGGACACGTTTTTCCTTGAATTCACTAGATTCAAGACTTCCAGGCAATCGTAAATAAAAGCATGTGCCCGCTCATCTTCCCAGCAAATATATGTGGTGACTGGCATATTAGAACAGGAATATTACTATTTCCACTAGCTAGGATTCTTAACCAGAGGTGTTTGGCAAAATTACCTGTGAGAGGTTGATTTGTTTGTTTGCGTGATTGTTTTTAAATCAGGTATTCAATTCTCATTCCAGACCTACTGAACCAACATCTTAGTGAGGGAGGAGGGAAGATGGTAATGCCTTGCATGTATACATGTAGAAAAGAAATGCATTCACACTTTTATGGTTCAAGGCTCCCCACATACCAAAGGGTCACATGGCAATTCTCCCTCTGGCCTCTAACCTCAGTTACTTAGCACCCCGTAGTACCCCCAAAGCTACCAATGTTCTTAATTTTTTGTTTATTCTTCCAGAGATATTTTGTACACATATATATATTTATATACATTAAATATGTATATATCACCCTTCTAAATAAATGTATCACACTAAAGAATTTATACACATACAGGCAAATATATATATATGTATATTTCCTCCTTTCTGAATAAATATACCACGCTAAAAATTTTATTTTTAAATTTTTTAAATGATTCTGGTGCACTCTGGAGACTGGGAACCATTGCTCTAAAGCAGAGTCTACAAAACGGCTTCCAAAATTGTTTTATTACCACCATATCTAGTTCTATTTTCAAGTGAATTGGTTGCTAATGTTTAAAAATCATTATGTTTTACATACAAATCTAAAATTCTGGCTTCTCTTGAGAAATAGAAAAATCTGACAAGACTGAACCCAAATTCTCACTTAGGAATAATTGGCTGCATCTGAATAACCTCTCTCCCCTTGGGTACCACTTGGACATTGCTGAACCACAGTTCAACCTAGCCTACACTACTTTCTAGTATGTCTCCATGAAGTGTCAGTTCTTTTTCAATGTGTTTCTGTTGTTGTCTTTCTTATAGTAAGGTTAAGGGGGAAATGATATATTTCTTGAACCCATGTTTCCATCAAAAGCAGAAGAATGAAAGACCAAGAAGGCTATGTGCTGGTTTTCTTTAAAGAAGTGGAGGAGGGCCATATTTCTTTGGAAATGAGGACTATAATTTCCTATTCCTAAATACGCAGCATGAGTCTGGCTTTCCTCACATCTGCCTGGTGTCTAAAGCCTGTGGAGCAGAGTATGGCTCCTCTCATACATGTTTATATGTATTTAAGCACAGGGTAAATATGGGTAAGTACATGAAAGCTTTCTCCTGGTATTTGAGAAAAACTCCACTCAAGATTTTACTTCCTCCACAAAGCACTGAGGCATTAGGCTGGTGGCATGGGTAATGTTTTTGCTTTTGTTCTAGAAAGTCTGCCATCTTTTCACTCTTAGTGGCCTCCAGGGCTTCAACCCAGCCTGCTCTCTGAAGTTGGTCACGTCCTAGCTAATATTTTCTCTTTTGAAAATCTTTCTAAATTTTTGGAAGTCTTGTTCTTTTTCTGTCCCTAAGACAGCCATATTAGTTTTTATTGAGTTCAGCTGCCTGAGACCCAATAAACAGAGACCCAAAGTAACAGTGGCTTAAACAACATAGAAGTTTATTGCTCTCATATGAAAGGTGTCTAAAGTAGGTAGTTCCCAGGTGTTCAATGGCTCCTTGATCACCAGAGACCCAGGCTTCTTCCATATGTGTGCTCCATAGCTCATCACATGACTTCCATCCTTCAGATCATTTCACAGTCCACAATAGCTGATGGAGCAGAAGGAAGGAAGGAAGTAAAGAGAGGGGATAAAATGGATGTGCCCCCAGCTGAATCAGCTCCCATTAAGTGGTCATCTTCCCTTAAGTCCTACATATCTGCTTATGTCTCATTAGTCAGATCTTTATTCACATGGTCACACCTATCTGCAAGGGAGACTAGAAATTATAGTCTTTTAGCTGGGCACATGGCTATCCCTCCAAAATTGGATTTTTGTTTCTAAAAGAGAAGTGAGGATAGGTATTAGATAGAGAACTAATAGATTCTGTCATATGTGTCATCTAAAACTTTTAATATTATTTGAAATAAAAAGAAATTCAAAAAACTTGGTTTTAGGATTCGCTTCACTTTTCCAGTGAAGTAACTTGAAAAGTCCGAGGGTGGCAAAATAGCAGAAAATAAGAAGCACAATTTTCCAAGAGAATCTTAAATTACTAGCTGTGCCTATATCGAAGCATTTATTTTTTCAACCAATGTTTTTGAGTGCTAATAATAATTAGGAATATCCTAGGCAACTGAGTCATGATTAAGATAAATTTCCCAAGAATCTGCAGCCTATAAATGAGCTTTAAGGGATATGGATTTGCTAAAATGTTTGTGTAACTGACTTTAAACTGATTTTCTTCTCATGTTTAGATACAAGATCATAGGGTTCTTTCATTAAAAAACCATTTCATTAAATGGTTATTAAGTGTCTATCATCCTAGTTTATCAAGAGGCAGTATACTCCAGTGGTTAAGAGAGGAGTTCTAAAGCCACACTGTCTGGGTTCAAATTCTGGCTCTGCAACTTGTTGTTACTTAATTTCTCTAAGCCTTTGTTTCCCCATCTGAAAAAAAATGAGAGAAAATACCTAACTCTCAGGGTTGTGGATTGCTGTTAACATTAAATTAGTTGATACATGTAAAATACTTACGAGCAGTGACTTGAACCTATTACCATATTACCCACACATTTAGTATTTTTTAACTATGCACCTGGACTTATGTTAAGCAATATGTCTTAGAGGCTATCTAGACATGACTTTTATTTCAAAGATGATGAAATTTAAGAAAATGTGCTAGTTAACTGCCTGTTGGCTCTCAAATCTAGTCTTTTCCCTCCTGCTCTACTCTGTATCTCAGGGAACTACATTTCCCAGGCTCCCTTGCCAGCTGCTTCCAGATACTTTTGGCCAAGTACTGGGAGGCAATGGTGGAACAGTAAGAGCAAGAGAAAGAGAAAAACCATGTAGTTCTACTCAACGTCCCTCTGATTCCTGTGGAATCTCCAACAGTGGCTCTCTCTTCCCCCAATTCCCTCTCCATAGCCCCTCACTCTGTGGTTCTGACTCCCACTATTTCCTGGGCCTTGGTAATACCTTCTCTTTGCCTTATCCCTCCAGCCTGGAGGCAGGTGCATCTTTCCGCTGTGGCCAGTCTCTGGAATGTCCTTCTACCCTGTGCTGTTTGGTGTCTCAACTTTCCCATCACCAGCATAACCATGTTTTGTATGAAATTCTCTCTGTTTCAAAGATCTAGAGAGGTCTCTATTTTCCTGAATGACCCTGATCAATAAAGCAAGACAAGCCATCTCTCTGGGCCACAGATTCCTTACCCTCCAGATTGAAGGCTGGGACCATTTTGTTTCATTAGGCCTTCTCCAGTTGCAATTAACATGGCTTAGAAAACTTAAAACAATTTGCTCAAAGTCTTACAACCAATTAGTGACATATTTAGAATTTGAACCCAGATATCCTAAATAGGTATGTATCACCTCGACAAAGTATTTCTTTAAATCTCAAGTCCAGTTTGTTAATATGCTTACCAATTATTGTCTTAGAAATTATATTGTCCTTTCCCGAACTAAAAAAAAAAAAAATTGTGCCTGTACATTTTATTTTCGTGGACATTTCTAATCCAATTTGAAATGTCGTTTTTAGAACTACTGAGGCTCCTGGACTACAGTTGGGAGGGTTCACTTAAGTGGTTTAAGTTGTTAGTCTAAGCGGGTTGAAACTCAGTGGATTTATACACTGAGCTCCCATATTTGATGTGAAAGCCTAGTGTGGTAAGGCAATTCGATACTATAAATCATACCACTGCTCCACTGGCTTGAACTTGGATATAACTTTGGATTTTCTCCTTTTCCGCCCTGGGTTTAGTAGAAATAATATGGGCTAGCAGTTGCTGCTGTTCGAATTCCTGGAAGCCAATATCCTATGCTTGCATCAGCAACCCTGAACATTTAGCTGTAATGATTATTGCTTAACATTTATTGAGACCTGTCAGTGGGCTAGATGGAGAGAGTTGGGGGAGGAGGCACTTATCCTAATGAGGGAATTTAGAGCACATCGGCTTAATTCATTGCGAGCAGCTTTTAGAGAAAATGGAACAGAAATCTCTATGGTGTTTGCTACAAGCCTGGTTATTTACAAGCCATCACAAGGAAAGTAAGAACGTGCTCCTTTCCTTTCTCCCTCAAGAGAGAACTTCCTCCTCCAGAATTTTCTAGACTACCCCAGCAACAATGCACTCTCCTCCCTGTTGTATGTCTGATCCTGTGACCCCTCTCTTTAAACCCACCAGAGAATTTACATGTCTCCAGGACAGAGGCAGATTCCTTAGCTAGCATATATAATCCTCCCAGCATAGTGTGGCCTCTTCATCTCTCATTCTCAGCTTCAGCACCTCTCATCTCTAATCCTCTTTCCATATCCCTTTGAGCAGTTCCTTGAATATCTCTCAGTTCCTTAACAACCCCCCATAGTTTTTCACTCTAGGATATCTTTGCCCATGTTATTTTTACCTTCTACTGGCTGTGTGCTTGACAGACTGCTATAATCTTTTAAGAACCAGCTCAAAACTCCCCTTCTATGTGGAAGTCACCCTGACCTCAGTAGGAATTGTGATCCTTGCTTATTATTCATCATAAAACTTCACCTCGTTGAGCCTCCTCTGGGGCAGTGAACTTCATACTTCCCCTTCAACAACAAAACGGGGGAGGAGTTTTTATCTACATTCTAGAGATGAAGACCTTGAGGCATGGAGAAGTTAGCCACCTGACTAAGGTCACAGAGCTAGCACTAGCTAGAAAGTGGCGGAGCTGACATTCAAGTGAGGTCTATGGGATTCAAGACACCTTGACCTCCCTGGACCCTCCTTTCCTCTGTGATGCCCTAATAGGACTCACGGGCTTTAAAAATACAAGTTTACTTGTCTTTCTTCAAACATACACGGTAAGCCCCTCCTGGGCACCTTGTCTTCTCTTTGTACTCTAGACTCAGGAATACAGTGAGCATGCAATAGATGAGTGCTGAATTGATTTGCTTGTTTTAATTATTATTAATCCTTCATTCACTTATGGTTCCTTCATTTAACTGTGGAAACATTGCCTGCCTTTTTATTCTAGGACAGTGTTCCTCGATCCTGTGCCCACAGGCTGAACACTCCCCGAAGGTGCCTGTAGCACAGATAAGAGAGCTTTAGGCTGTGCACAGATCCATCCTGTACTTCAAAATGGAGCCAAATGCCAGTGTACAACAAAGTTTAACTCTGTTTCCACCTCCCAAATCACTGCCACAGCCCTCTCTGTCCACTTATCCCATCCTATCAATACTGATTTGGCTCCTAGAAAGGAAGGATAACATGAATTTTAGGGTCAGAGAGACCTAAGGTGGAGCCCAGGCTCTATCACTTCCTTTAAGTGACCTTGAGCACTTCTGAGAATTCCTCCCAGCTATGGTGTCCTGATTTGTAAAATAAGGATGATAATAATATCTATCTCACAAGGGAAGGTGACTGTTAGGATTACATGAGATTATGCTTATAGCATTTAGCCCAGTCCCTAACAATAGTAAGTGCTTAATAAACATTATCTATAATTATCATTATCTTGTTACTTGGTTTTACAAATTTCTGCTCAAATGTTCATGGATAAATAATGTATGAGCTGATACAGGTTTTACTGTAATTCTATTCAGGAAGGTTTTCTTTTTAAATAATGACTTATAAAGTTATTTGACCTTAAGAGTCCAAAGGAATAAAAATATAATGAGAGACTGGAAATTTTGTTCCATCTTCATCAAATGACACTGTTCAGGTGGCTGCCGTATATATACATCTATATTTGGACTCACCTCAAACATGAATGGTAGATTATGGCCAATGTTCTTTTCCCCACCCTCATTGTAAGGACCACTTTGCCTGAACAGAAGACTCAAACCTTGTGAGCATTGCTGATGTGACTCTGGTTCCTAGTAGGAAAAAAGATCAAATGATCATGTTAAACACTCCCACTGTCCAGGAGATCATGTTAAACACTTCATAGACTAAAATTGTAGTAATTGCTAATGCTGATTGAGTGTTAACCCTGTAAGCTAAATACTTTACATTCGTTACCCTATTTAATCTTTATGTCAACTAAAAAAGACAGATACTATTTTCACCATTTTATATGAGGAAACTGAGGTTTAAATTAGACAAGCTGGGAATTGAGCCTGATTCTGTCTGATCTCAGAGCCCCAATTCCTATTCATTACACCACTTGGTCAACCTTTTTAATGGACTTAAATAACTTGTGTATTCCTTTCTATTTTCAGATGTTTGGAACATCTATCTCTTGTAATTAGTAGTGTGTTGATACATGTTAACAACTGGCCCTCCTGGAGAAAAAAAAAAAAAATCAGTGTTTGCTGGTTTCTATGGTATAAATACTTTCACCACGGCCAATGTCAAGCTACCAGTGAGATGTCAACCAGCTCACAAAATTCCTGAAAATTTAATCGTTGGCTCCCAAGAACTGTTACGCATGGCTCCAGCACAGCACTGCTTATAGTCTAAATTAAATAATAATGATCTCCTAAGGACTTTCACCTAGTTTCCACCTTCTAGGTCAGTGATTCTCAGACTAGCTGCACATTGGAATCACTTGAGAGCTGATAAACATCAAATGCGTATCCCTGCCCCAGAGATTCTCTTTTAATTGATCCGGGGTTTGGCTAAGGCAGCAGTATATTTTTTTAACTCCTCAGATAATTCCTATGCACAGCCAGGATTGAGAAACACTGCTCTAGAAGAATATATTGTACTCATCACCCACTCATTTATTACAGACTGGATGAATATGTGATGTTATATCCTATTTTATTTTTCAAACTTTCAAGTTTTAGAGTGGGTGGCCAATTGTGCTTGTTTATAAAATTTTAAACTAGTCCATTCAAGAAATGATTTTTGATACTTTTTCCTTTCATTTAAACAGTGACTAGCATATAATAGAAATTCAATAAATATAACTATTATTATTTTGTTGTTGTTAGTATCTTAAATTTAGCAATCTCTAACAACTTTTATGATTTTCTTATCCGTTAGATTTTATAATCTGTACTTGGCTGAGTCTTAAATGATTGATGCAAGTATGTTTTTCCACAGGACAAAATTTTCAGCATCTCTCCCCAAATAGACCCAAAATCAGGGATCTTCCTTTTACCAGGAACAACCTAGCTCCCCTACCAGACCAAAAATGTAAGTATTATGAATCTTCCTCAGCTTCCTTTGCAAGTGTTAACATGTCCAGACACAACTAAATGTTATTTCAGTTTACTTTCATTTTCCAAGTGAACATTAGGTACCAAAACTTCTAAGTTATAGGAAAATGGAATAGAGACAGTCTTTAAAGATACATTCAACTTGTTAATGCTTGTTTAAAACAACAACACCCCTTCCCTTAAGGAATTTTTATGTTTAGACTATAAAAACTGTAACAGAGCTTATTTTGCTATGTATTATTTGATGTGTTTAAGAAGGTACTTTAAAAATTCTCTTAAGACTGGTCTTTCTACGTTGGTTTCCTTACTATGATAGACACATAGAAATGTCTGTCACCTTTTAATTCACAGGCTATGCATTCCTAAGCAGAATGGAATAATCAAGTAGATGCTGTTCAACAGTATTACTTTTGGCATTATTGATTTCTTTGTTAATATTTTATAGAAAAATTTCTCACAATGTAAAACATATTCTATCCAGCCAGTGATCTTAAGTTTTGAGTGTTTCAAAGTATTACCTGGGGCGCTTGTTGTGAAGTAGATTCCAGGCCCCACACCCAGAAATTCTGAGTTTGTATATCCTCATTTCTGTAATCTGAGGCAGGTTCCATTACTATGCCCATTGTGCAGATAAGAAAACTGACTTCAGAGAAGTTACATGACCTGCTCAACATTGCTTAGTAAATAACAGAGCCAGGAACAAAACTACAGGTTATTGAGCCCACTGCCTCACGAAACAAGCAATACTTTCTGGATTCTAATGCACTTCCTTTTCTTCCTATCCTAGACCATCCGCCTGGCTATAACATGCACAGGTATACATGCACGTACGCTCACACACACATACATACTCTCCGCATCTTCCTAATTGCAGAGGTTAAATGATTTAGGAGTTGCCCTCACTGTTTTCCTTAACTTTTCTGTACTTCAGTTTCCTCACTTAACCTATAGCAGCCTTGCCAACCTGATTCTATTATAGGATTAAATGAGTTAAGGTATGTAAAACACCTGACAACTGTTTGCACAGAGTAAATGCCCAATATGTCTTTTCTGATAAAAACAATGAGAGAGGTGTGACGGGGTCTTGATACAATCCTATCTTTTTGCAGTTAAGGAAAGGAAGAGGTGGAGAGCTATGTCCTAGTTATACAAAGAGTTGGTAGCAGAAACGATGGTCTCTTCCTTAGCATATCAGTTCCTCTGTCCTTACTGATTTATGTAAAATGAGAGTTTGGGATGGTATGAATTCAATCATTGAATGAAATTCAAGCCTGATCTTGTCTTTTAGCAGAAACCTTGTCTAAGATGTCTAAACAAAGACATCTAATTAAGAAAAGAGTTGTTCAGCCTTAAATCCTGGTGGGACTCGAAGAAGCCTAACAGAAGAAATTTTCTTTGGTAGAGCCCAGGAGCTTTGCTTTTTACAATTAAATTTAAGTGGAAAAGGGAAAATAAACATCTTTGATCGACTTTAGCTCTATGAAAAAGAAATGGAAAGGTACACAGTGCTCTTCCTAAAAGAAAAGCGAGAACCTTTTGAGGTTTGCATAAAAGCACAGCAACAAATGTCTTGGGGTTTGTTTAGAGCCTTGTGCTGACTTGGCCATCTGAACAGCTACTCCACCCAAGGAACAGAAAGCTCTGCCAGGCACGCACAGCTTGATCATGCTTTGATCAAACTTGGCCCTGACTGGTATTTGTGCATATTTGACATCCCTGACTACATATGGTAAGTCTGAATACATATATATGAATGTGGATATGAATATATATATACACACACACACAGCTTTCGCCTGCAGTCTAGCTCTCACCAAGACAAGCTTCTTAGAAATGCCTTCACTCCTAAAGAAATAACACAATTCTCCTACCACCATTCCTCATGAGACTGAGAAAAGCAAATCTTAAAAGTCTCTCATTCTTTCACCCAGTTCTATCTGGAGAACCTCTACGAACAAACCGAGTGCTTCCTGCTATTCCAAGCCAACGGGGACACAACATACCTGCTGAAGAGAGTGAAAACTCTGCTAATCCTACCAATGATAAAAATTAACTGTGGGTCATTGACTAAAACCATTCCTCATGAGACTGAGAAAAGCAAATCTTAAAAGTCTCTCATTCTTTCACCCAGTTCTATCTGGAGAACCTCTACGAACAAACCGAGTGCTTCCTGCTATTCCAAGCCAACGGGGACACAACATACCTGCTGAAGAGAGTGAAAACTCTGCTAATCCTACCAATGATAAAAATTAACTGTGGGTCATTGACTAAAAATGTAGATTATATATATTTATATATATATAATCAGCTGTCAAAGGACGAAATTACTCTAGTTTGTAAGAACAGAGACTAATTTAGTAAATTTCATTCTATAAGCCATTCACAGTTTTATAACTCAAAATTCTATATTCCAAATAAAGACATTTCCCAAATAAGCACTTAGAATCTTTGATTGTGCATATGTTGTAATTCTGTGAGTTTCTGTGACCTCTACATGCCAAAAAAGAAGTCAAAATTTGTTATCAACAGGGAAACTTAGCTATGTTTGGTTTGCTTTGTGGCATGTGAGATGATTATTTTTTCTGAATGATTTTGCTTTTTTAAAAAAAAGTATGCTTTGGTAAATAAAAACAAAAAAACACATTCCAAACTTTTCTTCACATTTATTATAATTTTACTTACCTTGGACTGATGAAACTTAATTAAAATTAAAGTAGTAAATTTTTTAGTCACAGTGTATGGCTTTTAAATGTACAGTCTTCTACATAGTATTTTCTAACATTATTAGTTCCTGGCTATAGCCCAAATTGCTGGACAGTGTTTCTGTATCTTCCTTGTTATCTGATTATTTCCACATATTGTCATTTTCAGATATGATTGATTGTTCCAATAGTGAGAAGATCATGTAAGTTGGAAAGGTCTACATCCTGGCCCAACAGAATGGAAAAGGCATTTCTCACACATTCCTCAAATTCCTACGTATTTAATCATTCTTTTTTCTGTTTCAAAATAATGGTCTCTGCCCACTGAAGACATTCCCAGACTTATGACTTAGCAAAGTTTGAAAGACTACTACTAACTGCAGATCTCCTTACAAAGATGTTCGTGTGCTGTTACGATTGATTTCACATTCAAGGCTCAGCCATAAAAGAGCATAGTCACTCCACGTTATTTTTTAGCCTGAATGTCATTCTGTAAATATCTCAAATATAATATTTACCATTTTATATTAATATTGTTTGTGCAAAGAGGTTACACTGTGCCATTTACTCAGTAGAAGCTCCTCTAAGGCCAAATCACAGTCTTTGGCTTTATACTTCTAGAAATTTGTACAGTGCTTAGCATATAGTAGGCAGTCAATCATTTAATATTTTTTCAGAAAAGAAGGAAGAGAAGGAAGTAGGGAGGTAGAAAGTTAGCAAGGCAGAGAGATGTAGGAAGTGATAATAAAAGAGGTACTAGTGTACAATCTCCTTTGGACAGTGATAGTTGTCTGAATCAGGGATTATGAAAGAGAGAGCCTATGGATCAGCTTCCCAAGATAGACAGTAGCTAGTGGGATGGCAAACCCTGGTGCAAATGAAAGAACTCTCAGGATAGATTCTGAAGGGTTTTCTATTCTGTTTTGTTTTGTTTGTGGGCTGCTTTTATCTTTGTAGAATTATTCTTTGTAAGTATCAGTTAGGCTGTTCAGTAAGTATCAGTTAGGCTACGGAATCCATGTCCACCCATGAGTAGGTTGCTCTACACTGCCTGGATTAGTCAGGATAGGCTCACCTCTGCTTCGATAATAAAAAAACCCTAATATCTCATTAGCTAACACGTTTTTTTTCCTCATTCACAACACATATCTCACACCAGGTGGCAGAGTTGGCTGATGTAGTTTCTACTTCAACATGCACTTCCTTGGTGATCAAAACACAGGAAATGGGAGGTGAGTCTCATCGCTCCCTCTCACATTTCATTTGCCAAATCAAGTAATATAGTCACACCTAACTTCAAAGGGGGTAGAGAAATGCAATCCTTCTAGGTGTCAGGAAGGAGCATTGGACTATACATGACTTATCCAAAAGATTACCACACTAACCAAAGTTCAGGCTTTAAGTGATTATTTAAGTATACTGGCATGCCCGCTACCAAGTGAATAGCAAAGAGGTCAACGTAGTTGAAAGAAAGAAAAGAAAAGAAAGAGAGAGAGAGAGAGAGAGAGAGATCTGAGCTAAATGCTCCTCATACATCATTCATACTTTATCTTAAATGCCCATAGAAACTTTAAAGAAGTTAACAAAGACCATGAACACATAGAAATAGTGGTGACCACAAATCAAAGCCAGATCTATTAATGTAAATAGTATTTACCAAATTCTTAATATAAAATAAAAAATTTAAATATCCTCTCTTCCAACCTCCCATAACACTCTACAGTATACATTTTTCCCCTCAATTTCAGTCTTTTTTATAGTTTAAGTAATGCCAGATTTTGTTCTTTATAACCCCTACTTTCTTGTTTCAATTATAATTTGTAATGTTCCTACAAATAACAGTAGTGCATCAGTTTGAATCTTTCAATAAGCAGACATCAAGATGATATTAGATATGTACAATATTTGTTGGGGGAATTGTCTTTGAAAAATAAAGGGAAGAGAACAATGAATTAGACAGGGAAGAACTTCAGAGAGTAATGTATGAAGAAATAAAGGAAAGTAGGTAAAAAGGAAGAAAAGTGGGAAGGAAGAAGGAAGAAAGAAAGGAAAGAAGGAAAGAAAAAAGGAAGAAAGGAAAGGAGGAAGGAAGGAAGAAAGAAAGAAAGAAAGAACGCACTCAGGCTGGGAGGGAGGGAGGGAGGGAAGGAAGGAAAGATCTGTATGTAGCTATAAAACAAGGCACCATCCTGAACACTTGAACATATGTATATATATACACACACATAGAATCTAACGTTGGGCCTTTCTACTCAAGTTGATTTAAGAATCTTTTGTTAGCTGTGAAGAAGTACTATGCTGCCCACTATCACCTCTTTAAATAGAGCAACTGTCCTTTGGCCAATGGATAAAATTACTTGTTTGAGGTAGATTCCTTCTCAGCCAATATTTCACTGACCAAATCAGATTTTTTTTTTTAGATATTTACCAATTAGTGCCCAAATTTAAAATTTTTTTCTTCTAAAATGATTTTTTTCTTGTTTTACCACTTATATTTCCTTTCATTGCTAAGGAAAGTTTATTTATGCTCATAAAAATTATAACTTTGCATATATTATTTCATTTGGATCATTACATCAACCTATATGCCCTAAGTATATATAAGGAATCCAAGGCAGAGAGAGAAGTTAAGTAATGTGGCCAAAGTCACACAGCTAAAAAATGGCAGAGCAAGAGTTAGCAATGAAGTCTCTCTAGTCCCATGGTCCAGTGGTCCCCAACCTTTGTGGTACCGGGGACCAGTGCTCCTATGAGAATGTAATGCCTGATAATCTGAGGTGGAACTGAGGTGGTGATGCTAGTACTGGAGAGCAGCTGAAAATACAGATGAAGCTTCACTGGCTCACTGCTCACCTCCTATTGTGAGGCCTTTTTCCTAACAGGCCACAGGCCTATACCAGTCTGTGGACTAGAGGTTGGAGACCCCTGTTATAGTCCACATACATAATCCCTAATCGTCATTTTCCTTTTCCAGAAATTTCATAGATGTGGTATATCTTTAGCAAAGCCTCTTTTCTCACTTTATTTATTTAGTCTATGTACAGACAAAGTAGAGCTACTGTTAATATTTGTGGAAAGAGCCCACCAATCCAGTAATCTGTGCTAAATCAGTTAAGAGTTGCTTGAAATTAGCCCCCTTCCCCCATTGTTCTTAGGTCCCTTCAGTAGTCACCTGGTTTAACACGGGTGTTATTTCTACCAGTAAACACTCAGCTCCAATGCTCTTGTCTTCCTTGAAGTAAGCCAATATAAATGGATTTCTGTGACTCCAGCTTATTATCCCTTCCAATTCTATTAGAGCACAGATCAATACATAATATGATTTTAGAAAACCCTACCAAGTAGCTGATTAGAAATATAGTACCTCCCAGAATGACAAACATGACCATTGGTTTTGCTTTTGCCCCTACTCATTGAAACGCACTGATGCAAATCTCTAAGCAAGGTGCATCCTGGCATTTTAAAGGTGGTTTTGAAAACAACCTTCTGAAATCCACTATAGGCTTAAATTAGGTAATCAAGATTAAACATGTTTGACCTTAGCATGAAATGTAACACTCAAGCCCAAAACTAAATTAATCAAGGAACATGATAGTGGCTCTCATATAGTAACTAGACCTTCTGATTGCTTTTTTTTTGGCGGAGGAGTGGGGAAGACATTTTAAAATCTGGAAATTTTTTCAGAACACATATTTCCTAGACATTGACATAGAAATGTTAATACTGGTTGATGAAGACTCTCAACAAACTATAGACTCTATCAAAACTGTTTTTTAAAGCAAATGTTTTCCCATTCTGACTTCTGTTTTAACCCAATCTTTGTCTTTTGGGCCGAATGAGTTCCAAAATCCTCAGAAGCCAAATCTGAGAAGTCAATGAATAAATTGTATGAAAAGCTAAAGAGTTTCTAGTCATCGTGTTATATTAGCACAGTTGTCACAAGAAAGACAAAAGTAGTTTTCACACTAATATGTGAAAAACAGGAAAGAACTTGTTAATTATTAAATCCCTAGTAAAAATTTTATTAGTGATGAATGGTAAATTACCTTGCATTTGCTAAATGGTCCACAGACTAGAAAAACTGAGAGCAGAAAAATGACTGCCAGTTCCATTAGGAAGATAAGGTAGACTCTAATTTGTTGACTTTCATAATAAGAAACTGACATTTTGGAGATTTGGAGATGTGGATCAGCTGTAAAATGAGAAGGTGAGATGGAGTGTGGAAGAAACTGTAGTTGGTCCCACATGGGCAGTGAATCCAAGAACTGAGCCCAGATACAGTTGAACACCAACAATATCTTTGGTGCACTGAAGGCGAAACTCCACTAGCACCATGGAGTGCGTGACATTAAGGAATGAATGAAGGA